GGCACCGTCTAAATCCGTTGAGATGACACTGTATGAACTATGGTTTGGGAAGAAACCTAAGTTGTCGTTTCTTAAAGTTTGGGGATGTGACACTTATGTCAAAAGGCTTCAGCCTGATAAGCTCGAACCTAAATGGGAGAAGTGCGTCTTCATAGGATACCCTAAAGACCATTGGGTATACCTTCTACCACAAATCCGAAGGCAAGATCTTTGTTGCCAAGAACGGGTCCTTTCTAGAGAAGGACTTTCTCTCGAAATAAGTGAGTGGGAGGAAAGTAGAACTTGATGAGGTAGTTGTACCTTCTCTCAAATTGGAAAGTAGCACACCAGGGAAAACCATTTCTGTGATGCCTACACCGATTAGAGAGGAAGCTAATGATGATGATCATAAAACTTCAGATCAACTTACTACTAAACTTTGTAGGTCGACCAGAACACGTACAACACCAGAGTGGTACGATAACCCTGTCCTAGAAGTCATGTTATTAGACCACGGAGAACCTATGAACTATGAAGAAGCTATGATGAACCCAAATTCCGACAAATGGCTTGAGGCCATGAAATCTGAGATAGGATCCATGTATGAGAACAAAGTTTGGACTTTGGTAGACTTGCCCATTGATCGGCAAGCCATTGAGAATAAATGGAACTTCAATAAGAAGACGGACGCTGATGGTAATATCACTGTCTATAAAGCTCGACTTGATGCAAAAGGTTTTTGACAAGTTCAAGGGGTTGACTACGATGGGACTTTCTCACTCATAGCGATGCTTAAACCTGTCCGAATCATGTTAGCAATAGCCACATTTTATGATTATGAAATCTGACAAATGGACATCAAAATTGCATTCCTTAATGAATTTCTTAAAGAAGAGTTGTATATGATGCAACCAGAAATTATTGTCGATCCTAAGGGTGCTAACAAAGTGTGCAAACTCCAGCAATCCATCTATGGACTGGTGCAAGCATCTCGGAGTTGGAATATACACTTTGATGAGGTGATCAAAGCATTATGGTGAAGCATGCGTTTGCAAGAAACTGAGTGGGAGCTTTGTAGCATTTTCTCATATTATATGTGGATGACATATTGTTGATTGAAAATGATATAGAATTTCTGGATAGCATAAAAGGATACTTGAATAAGAATTTTCAATGAAAGACCTCGGTGAATCTACCTATATATTGGGCATCAAGATCTATAGAGATAGATCAAAACGCTTAATAGGACTTTCACAAAGCACATACCTTGACAAAGTTTTCAAGAATGGACCAGTCAAAGAAAGGGTTCTTGCCTGTGTTGCAAGGTGTGAAGTTGAGTAAGACTCAAAGCCCGACCATGGCAGAAGATAGAGAGAGAATGAAAGTCATTCCCTATGCCTCAACCATACGTTCTATTATGTATGCCATGCTGTGTACCAGACTTGATGTGCAGAAGATAGAGAGAGAATGAAAGTCATTCCCTATGCCTCAACCATACGTTCTATTATGTATGCCATGCTGTGTACCAGACTTGATGTGTGTCTTTCCATGAGTCTGGCAAGGGGGTAAAATAGTGATCCAGGAGTGGATCACAGGACAGTGGTCAAACTTATCCTTAGGTACCTAAAGAGGACTAAGGAAATGTTTCTCGGTTATGGAGGCGATAAAGAGTTCGTCATAAAGGGTTACGTCGATGCAAGTTTTGACATTGATCCGGATGACTCTGAGTCTTAATCTGGATACATATTGAACGTGGGAGCAATTAGCTAGAGTAGCTCTATGCAGAGCATTGTAGACATAGATATTTGCAAGGTACACACGGATCTGAATGTTGCAGACTTGTTGACTAAAAACCTCTCTCACAAGCAAAACATGATCACACCTTAGAACTCTTTGGGTGTTAATAACATAGGGTTGTGAACTAGATTATTGACTCTAGTGAACTCTTTGGGTGTTAATCACATGGCGATGTGAGCTAGATTATTGACTCTAGTGCAAGTGGGAGACTGATGGAAATATGCCCTAGAGTCAATAATAAAGTTGTTATTATTATATTCCTTATTCATGATCAAGGTTTATTATTAATGCTAGAATTGTATTGACCGGAAGCTTAAATACATGTCTGGATACATAAACAAATACCGTGTCCCTAGTGAGCCTCTACTAGACTAGCTCGTTGATCAAAGGATGGTTAAGGTTTCCTAACCATAGACATGAGTTGTCATTTGATAATGGGATCACATCATTAGGAGAATGATGTGATGGACAAGACCCATCCATTAGCTCAGCATATGATCATTCAGTTTATTGCTACTTCTTTCTTAATGTCAAATACATATTCCTTCGACCATGAGATCATGCAACTCCCGGATACCGCAGGAATACCTTATTTGCTATCAAACATCACAACGTAACTGGGTGATCATAAAGATTCTCTATAGGTATGTCTGAAGGTGTATATTGAGTTGGCATGAATCGAGATTGGGATTTGTCACTCCGTATGACAGAGAGGTATCTCTGGGCCCTCTTAGTAATACAACATCACAAGAAGCTTGCAAGCAAAGTGACTAAGGAGTTAGTTACGAGATGATGTATTACGAAACGAGTAAAGAGACTTGCCGGTGACGAGATTGAACTAGGTATGGAGATACCGACGATCGAATCTCAGGCAAGTAACATACCGACAGACAAAGGGAAATACGTATGTTGTCATAAAGGTTTGACCGGTAAAGATCTTTGTAGAATATGTAGGAACCAAAATGGGCATCCAGATCCCGCTATTGGTTATTGATTGGAGAAGCGTCTCGGTCATGTCTACATCATTCTCGAACCCGTAGGGTCTGCACGCTTAACGTTCGTTGACGATATAGTATTATATGAGTTATGTGAATTGGTGACCGAATGCTGTTCAGAGTCCCGGATGAGATCACGGACATGACGTGGAGCTCCGGAGTGGTCCGGAGGTAAAGATTAATATATAGGACGATGCTATTTGGTCTCCGAAAAGGTTTCGGAATGCACCGGGTATTCATTGGGTCACCGGAAGGGGTTCCGGGAGACATATAGGGAGTATATGGGCCTAATGGGCCAAGGGAGGAACACACCAGCCCACAAGGGTCTGGCGCACCCTCTCCCTGGCCGCCGGCCCTATAGGGAAGGAAAGGGGGGGGCACCTAAGGCAAGGGAGCCTCCGGCCCCCCTCCTACCTTCTCCTCCACCCCACAAGAAAGGAAAGGGGGGCGCGGCCAGGGCAGGAGCCCAGGGCGGGCGTCGGCCATCTTCGGGGCGCCCTAGGCTGCCTCCCCTCCCCCACCTATATATATGAGAGGAGGGAGAGGAGCAACACATACCACGATCCCCAACCCGTGTGCGGTGCGCCGTCTCCTCTAGTTCTAGTTCCTCCTCCGTCCACGTCCGTTGTGCTTGGCAAAGCCCCACGGATAGTTTCACCACCACCGTCACGACGCCGTCGTGCTGCCGGAACTCATCTACTACTACGCCCGTCTTGCTGGATCAAGAAGGCGAGGACGTCATTGAGCTGAACGTGGCTGAACGCGGAGGTGTCGTACGTTCGGTACTTGACCGGGCAGATCGTGAAGGTGTACGACTACATCACCCGCGTTGAAAAACGCTTCCGCTTAACGGTCTACGAGGATACGCAGACACACTCTCCCCTCTCGTAGCTATGCATCTCTGTGGATAGATCTTGCGTGTGCGTAGAAATTTTTTGTTTTCCATGCAACGTTCCCCAACACTTGATGTATCGCGGGCTTTGTTAATATAGTTGGATCATATGGTGTTTTCTCCTCTCTATCTTGTTGTGATGAATTGAGTTTTCCCTTTGAGATTTCGTTTTATCAGACTGAATACTTTTATGGATTTGAGAGCACTTGATGTATGTCTTGCTATGAATATCAGTGGTGACAATGGGGTATCATATTGATTCACTCGATATATGTTTTGGCACTCAACTCGCGGATTTCTAAGGTGACATTGGGGTAATCTATGCATGGGGTTGATGCACATTTTCGTCCTTGTTTCTTCGGTAGAAATCTTGGGGCACTCTTTGAGGTTCTTTGTGTTGGATTAAGTATTATAAATCGGAAATTTTTTGATGCATATCGTATAATCAACTCACGGATACTCCTGGTGACATTGGAGTATTTAGGTGACATTAGAGTTGGTTGATATGTATCATATGGTGTTATTTAGTACAAACTATTAGATAGATTGATCGGAATGGATAACTTGGTGTTATTTTAGTACGAACTCTTGGGTAAGATCGATCGAAAAGGATAATTTTGAGGTGGTTTCGTACCCTACAAACAATTTCGTCTTATATTCTCCGCTAGATAAGAACTTTGGAGTGATTCTTCATCGCACGTCTATCCTCCAATTTGTGAATTGAGACTCCTGATCTAGGACGTGACAGGGGTCGTACGTGCACTTATTATGTTTCAAGTCTTTCGGTATATGCAAATTTGCGACTTCAATTGGTTGATATGTGGTTTATTAAATTTTGCTTCAGTTTGATACATATGTATCTGTTATGTTATAATGTATGCATTATAGATCATAAGGGGAATGCTTGGATATTATACACTTGGCTATGACCATAATAGAAGTGATCTAGTATTCAGACAGTAAAGGTGGCAGTTAATGCTGGTATATTATGAGGACTATCTTGAATGCACATATTAGTTCTTATTCAAACAACTCCTATTATGTGAACTATCTTGAATGCACATATTAGTTCTTATTTAGACAGTAAAGGAGTATTTGAGTACACTTGGCCTTGACCAGTAATAGTAGTAGACATCTGCTATTAATCATACAGTTAGGTTAGCATTTATCGCAAGATGGCTATACATGCCCTTATATTTGTGTGGTTTAGTTTTTATCGGTTTATATGCTGCTGTTCATAGTAGTGATTTTGTAACAATACCTTTCCATTGTCACTCATTTTGCGTTTACTCAGCTTATATGTTTCTGTGTTTCTGCTGTATCAGGTTCTAAGAAAGATGCCTCCTCAAAGGGCGAGGAGGGGTCGCAGGCATGGGGGTAATCCCAGGACTCAGGAAGATAAGGATCAGCTTAGTAATAATCAATCTCTACCACTTACACTATATTTTCTCCTCTTTCCATCTCTCTCTCTCTCTCTCTCTCTCTCTCTCTCTCACGCACAATCCATTCTTTAAAGGGGTCCAACAACTCATAACCGCTACACTCTATGCCACTACTACGAGGGAGAAAAGGAGTATTAGAGGTATAAGATGTTATGTTTATTTTTTAACAGAGTTCTAGCATGTAGTTCTGGTTACTTATTTTCTTAATTTTGAAAAAATGCAGAGGAGGCCAAGACTATGGGAGAGAGTGAGAAATACGTAAACATTTTTGCAAACAGTCAGATTCAAGGTGTGGGTGTGATCAGCTATGCTTTACTGAATAAAAACAACTTGCTTGCCACTTGTTTACTGGAATATCTTCATTCCGACCCAAGCTCTAGGCTTCATGACGAGGCTGGTAGGCTTCCTACATTACTAGTTGTTATTGTTTTATGCAATAATCTAGAAATGCTCTCTCATGTGGTCTAGTAATTATAGGACGAACTCCCCTGCATTTTGCTGCCATAGGTGGAAACATTGTTCTGATGGACAGTCTGGTGAACACTCATCACGTTGATGTGAATGCAACAGATAATTCAGGGTTAATTCCATTGCATTTGGCAGTTTTCTATGGTATGACTGCTTCTGTGGTGACGCATTTGTCACCATTTCAAATTTCTGGTTCTTGTTGCCGTCATGTTATGAATATTCATTTGTGTTTTCCTTTCAGATAATACTGATGCTCTACTTGAACTGATGAGGCTGGGAGCAACCATTGAGGGGAATACTTGTTTTGGGAAGGCTATCCACGGCGCTGCCTTTTTAGGAAGTCTTGGGGCTATTAAAGCTATTCACCAGGATTTCCCCAATGAGGTGGCTTTTTTTTTTCATACTATGCATCAGATAGTTTTCTTTACTCGGTTCTGTAATGTGGTTTATATTTGCGTTTATTTGCTAATAGGTAAACATTGCTAGTGCTGGAAATTTCACGCCACTTATTTGTTCCCTGTTCGGCACTTCAGTTGACTGTCAGAACTTTCTTGCAGGGGTAATAACATTTTACTTATTATATTTATAATGTTTTCCCTGTTCATAGTTTCACACTAATTCATATTTGCTCTTCTATAATTTTGCCATTTGAAAGGTATCTGATGTGGGTACTCTTCCCTTGTTCACCAAAGTGGCATTGGTTAAAACCAATGAGGCTGAAGCTCATGCTCTTATGAAAACGCTTTTAAACCATGGAGCAGATGTGAACATATTGGACCAGGTCTTCGTCGGTCTCTTTGTGGATTTATTAGGTGTCATGTTATGTTGTTTTCTCTCCTTTTGACATGTATCTCTTAAAAATATAGGATTTTCTTGAAGAACCAGCATTGGTCATCGCCGCCAAAAACAAATGGAATCTGGTCATCGACCTTTTATTTGATAGAACAGAACAGATAGCTGGCATAGAGGACTGGACCGTTGCAAATTTACTCAGCCATGTCCAGACAGAAGATTTCTTGCATGAGGTATTGTTTTGACTTCAGTGTTCAATGCTTCCGTTTTTCTTGTGGCATAATTTATTTACATTTCACAAATCCGTTATGCTTTAGGACCGTTTGAGGAAAGCAAATAAAGTCCAGCAGCTGCGCCCCAGAATAATTGTTGAACTGGAAGCTAGAAATGTTGTTGTCGCGACCTATCTTTGCAAGGTAAGTCCAAAAGTATGGATTTCCTGAGTAGCAAAGTGTCGGCTTGCCAGTTTCAGTCATGTTACAATTCGAATATGGCGATGCACCCATGAAACTGAGTCCTATAAACACGTAGAATTGTCGCCATTGCATCCTTATTCCAATCATTGCATCAGTACAAATTGTGATGTATCATGAAGACTTGAACTATATTTCCTTTATGTGGCAGGCTTTAAAATCTGATATGGATGAATGGGACTGGAGCAACATCAGCAGTCTATGCGACCTCTGTGTACATTTTGGAATATCGTCATCTGAATATGAAATAACAGTGGAATGTATTTCTATGTACATGAGTGCTTATTTCTCAAAAGAGGTTGGTCATGCAGTATTTTGTTATACCGATTACACAATAAGCTGTATCTTATTTTCTTAACAGTATCATGGTAAAATAAGTAGCTTGTTAATATGCTAACTAGGCACTTCGCAGGAACGCTGGATGCCCAGTTTGTGTAGTAGTTTTGGACTTCTGTTGGATGACCAGATTTGCATTGGGAATAGTTTATAAAAGCTGTATATCCTTGTGATTTGGGATTAGTTTATTGCTAGTATGCTTACATTTACATAAAATTGTGCTGTTGAATTGATTTACTGTTACTGAGGCGGCATTGCCAAGGCAGTTGCTGCTGGGCAGTAACCATTTATGCTTCTGGATTTATTTATTTTATATGCAGTATTTCCCATATAGACGCCGTCGACATACATTATTCCCAAACCGTCAATTTTGAACTTACATGTGTAATGCTCTAAATCGGATACATTAGTTTTGATGATTGGTCGTTTGTATTCCTTGCAGCAATATGATAAGGCTCTTTTAGCTATAAAGGCTTGTCTTGCTCTGGAACCGGACAACCAGGAATTCATCAGACTCCACACGTAAGATACTTTTGTGACTACATATCAGTTAATGTTTATGTAGTTTTGTGACTACATATCAGTTAATGTTTATGTAGTTTTGTGACTACATATCAGTCAATGTTTATGTAGTTTTTTGACTACATATCAGTTTGTGTTTATGTTCTGTAACTGTTAATTCACATTCAATCTTTTCAGAATGGTGAAAAGGTTATCTGAAGAGAATACAGCGAGTACAAGTGGGCCTTCGCAGTAAAGCTGAGTGTCTTCGATCACAATGTCTCTGGGATACACCTGTCGCAACTTCTGGTTACTGTTTGAATGATCTAGTGTAGTTAGCCTAGCTGTTTCTGGTTATGTTTGGAGTCTGATGATATATGCGAAGGTTTCCAGTCTTGAGACTGGCTTCGTGTGTGGATCTTGCATGATCCGGTTTTTATGTGCTGTGGTTCTTTGCAACCCAGCAATGCAAGGTAACTCTAAATGTTTCTAGCTGGGAGTTTTGAGTCTTGTGCAGTCTGATGATATATGTGAGGGTTTCCAGTCTGAGACTGGCCTCATGGTGCGGGTAAACAGACCTTGGTTCCTGTGTTTGATGGAACCATGATGGTCTAATCAGTGTTCGGTGATGATGTGACTGGATACATCTTGGTTAACGGAAACATGATGTTCCCACTGTTCTTTAAACTGGAACGTTTGCGTTTGCTTAGGGGTTACGGCCAAGTAACATATTTTCTGTTGGCCGATTGGTTTACCTTTTGCCCAAAGGTAAAAGATACTTTCTCAATTACGTCTGAGATATATCTACCATCATATTTGTATCAAAGAGGAAAGAACATAAATTTCAGTTTCACCAAAGACCGCTACCAGCCATCAAAATTTGCTATTACATAGAATGTCTCCCGCCAAAGCCAAAACCACAAAAATGTTTCCCTGCAAAAAACTACCTCGACAATTTCCTGTGACAATCATTTCAGGCAGGGCGCAAAAGAATAGGGTTTCAAACCTACACCTGCCGTCTACAATGGAAACAGAGAAGAAAACTGGACATGACATTCCCCAGAAATCACGCATTCTACATCCAATCATTCCAACACCTCTCCATCCGTGCTTGCACACAGAAATTGCTTCACTGAACGGAACGGTAAAGCTGGTGCATCATAGAACTATAGCATGCGTGAAGCTTGTGGTTCAACCTTCCTGTATCTTTCAGCTGCGAGCGTGACTGACACTCATGGTGTTGGTACAATCTTTCTCGTCTTGACAGTGTATGAACAAGCCGCAGGGTGTTTCTCAATGCGCAGGCTATCTACCTTACAAATCTTCAGAGTCATCTTGTAGACTGAGCCGATGAATTGCAACCCCATTCTTTGCTGTTGCGACTCGGCCCCATTTTCCAAGACGAGGTTCCTAAGAAAATGGAGATAATCAAGTCATGCTGTTGAAGATACAATAGTGTATGACACTTTGTTTCGTGCTGGTACACGGAATTTCTTGAGAGCAGACATAAGAACGACCATCAGTAGTGGTTATCATGTTAGCATTTCTTGAGATTTTTTCTATATATAAGAAGAGACAACTTTCTTGGCCTCTGGATCATATTATGCACACAACCAAATTTCACCAGCTAAAAAAGATGGGAAAAACTCTTACTCGGCCAACACCAGCAACAATGAAGCGTCCTGATTTTGCTATTGCAAGAGAATTGACAAAGCCATCCTGTGCATGACAAATTGCAGATCAGACTTACAACAGGGTCATACGGAAAAGAGAGGGTAGTCATTACAGTAGTAAGTAATGACCACTGGTGTGAAGTAGAATAATGCGAGTTAAATACCAGTGGCAAGTCGAACAATGGCTGCATCCCTTTTGAATCAGGTTGAATTGTCCAAAGGCGAACAACACCATTAGCTGCTCCAGACGCAGCCAGATCAGAACCTTTTCTTGCAGCAACAGCACTAATCCATGAATGAGCTGATGAAAGGCTTTGAGGCTTACAAATTCCATTTTCTGCATAGTTGCACAAGGAATAAACAAGACATAATCTCAGTTGTTGAAATGAGGGAGCATACAGGAAGGCAATGTTCTCACTGCATTGACCACAAGTACCGAACTACCAACGCATGGTGAAAAAGGGAAATATGACTAATGTTGCCTGGTCAAATACCATCTTTACATGGTTTCCAATCACTACAAGAAGCTAAACAAATAAAATCCTACCATACCTTGCATCAAAATAAATGATTCTTTTTTTATCGCAGAAAGAGAGCAACGGGATTGAGAAAGTATCTTTTACCTTTGGGCAACTTTTCATCAGCACTGTCAAGTGAACTAGGAGCTAATGCTGGATGGGCATTTTTTATTATGTGAGTAGGTTTCTTTCTCATAACACTCCAAAGCTCGAGGCTTCCATCATCTGATCCAGACAAATATTCCTTGTCATCGATAAAGCAGCAGCACTCCAAAGACACAGCAGGAGCACGAAAGACTAACTGTGACTCCTCCGGTATCTGCCAAGAAATGAAAGCTTATTAAATGGAAAGGTAAGTCCTTACATTACAAGGTTTTAGCCTACATTTCTTAACAGAGAAAGGCATGTCTGTTCGAGAATTAAAGCATCTCTCCTTGGTTGCATGAAACAGAGATGAAAGTGTCATTTACATGCTCACACATTGTTGAAAACCCTACTTGAGGTCTTATCAGTCTACCTATTTATTGAAAGCAGCTAGACATGCAGATGAATCACACAGCGTTATCTGATCGTATCACAAACATATGAAGCGTAGAAGCTACAATGAACGAAACAGAGCTAAGTGCAAATTACCTTCCAAAGATGCATTGTTCTATCCCGTGCTACAGTCAGAAGTCTATCTTTGCTGAGTGCGTCAGTTGTCAATATTTCACCCTGATGACCATATAGGCAGTGCATGTATGTTCTATCTTCAGCATTCCACTGCATTATTGAACGATCATAAGAACCAGAGAATAGCTCTGAAGAGTCCAGGCCGAAAGCAAGACAGGATACGGGCCCTCTATGTCCACTGAATGCCTGCAGAACAGCAGAAAACAGTACTGAATTAAATTACATAAGCAGGGCAAACAATTAACATCATCAATAGTAGTAAAATTAACTCTGGCTCATGAGGGCATCAATAGTGATAGTATATGTTACTTTCAGAAAGATGTGCACAACGGTAAAGAGTGGATCCAAAAGGATCATGGATCTTGCGAGATAAGCTAGTGCAGGGGCCAAAGAAATAAGAAGCGCCCAAAAGAGGGAAAGGTCATCATTAGCAATTTAGCATTGGGCAATAGGTTATATGTATTTGAAGTTTGATAAATACAGAGTGACAGAATATTACATGGCAAAAGTAAGCTATACACACTGACATTAAACGAACATCTACAATCCAACTGAAAATGCTGCTCCCTGAATCATAAACAAACAGCTTACACTTGTAAACGGATCCTGATATGGAATTCAAGTTCCGTGTGAATTGACCTAAGAATACATCTGGTCAGTAGCAGACCCCAAACAGATATCTACGAAGGGCTACAGCATTCTAACATTGATC